CCACGTTGCTTATGCATTTGACAGACTTTTCGTTCATTTTCTGACAGTCAGTTACGGCAGCTTATTCATATTAGGTTCTTTCCCTAACAATCCGAACCGGATTCGGTAATTTGAGAATAAGCGAAAAGTTGACTTCCAAAAATGGAACATAGTCCAAAAAACCACACTTCGTGCCCGGAATTTTAGAAACAGCCGATTCGCGTTGTTTTTGTTTTTGTCACTTAAATGCAAACTTATGGAAATTGAATTTTTATTTCACAAATTTGATTTTAAGAATATAAAGATTGAAAATACATTCACTATTCCTTAAAAGCACCAAGTAAATGCAGGCAACATGTAAACACAAAACAGCTGATATGCACTTTGACGCTTTATCCAATTTTACCCGGAGAAAAAGTCCGGGCTATTTCGGACAGTAAGAAGAAGACACTTACGATCCAATACGTTCCAATTTTCGCTCTCTATTACCCATTTTGTTGAGTACGGGAATGATTTCTGGGCTGTTTTGGGCACCCGCGGGATCCCACGTTGCGTACGGGAAAGAACCTATTATAGTCAGCCCTTAAGGGAGCGGTGCGAGAGAGATAACTGTCAGTTTATCGAGCCTTGTATTATTAGTAGCGTCCTTGTATGCGATAGTTGTACCAGTTTGTACTAACTATCACGTTTTGGTGTTCTTATAGCCAATAAACTTGTTAGAAAGGGGAAACTGAGAGCGCAAAGTGATATTTCTTTTTGAAGCCCACATAGCCAAAATTCGACAACGCTCACGCTAACGCAAAGCAAAAAGATGGCCAACTCTCAACTTTTCGCGTGCGCCACTCATCAGCTGTTGCAAATAAATAAAATTATGTGAAATAGTATGCCTTTTAATTCAAGTGCGGGCAAGAAATATCATTTTAACGCAATTATTGATATGAAATATTAATTTATCTGTCGTTAGTATGTTAATTTAGTGGCCCAAGCATTCGCTGCCAAGCGTTCATTGTAGCAAGCACACTTTAAACGTGCGTTCTGTCAAACCAACGCCAATGCCAAAGCAAACGCGAAAGTTCTATGTAGACCGGCCTTTACTACGTTTATACGTAAGCTATTTGCAAATAAAAATAATTTGCAAATAACTAACTCACTGTTTATTCGATGGTGAAAATTTTTTTTTTAATATTGCCTAATTTTTAAAAGGCAATAATATGACCATCGAAAAGGAAAATAAAGTTAAAAATGGCAACTTGATTGATTATAAAAAGGCAGATGGCCATCGAAATGGAAAATTAACCTAAGAATGGCAGCGTCTTGCGCTTATTTGCAAATAGTACCACTAATCAATACTTATTTGCGTGATTTAGTTATTTGCAAATAAAACATTAAAAATTACACAAATACAGGACAAACTTAAAGAGAGACAGGAGAAAGTCGAAGCAAAGGTAGAAGAATTGGAAGGTCGTCTTCGTGATTTACAGTTGAATCGCCCAGCTACTTCGACGAACGCTCCCAAGGTAAAAACCCCATCCTTTGACGGAACGATTCCCTTCCAGGTCTTTAAGCTCCAGTTCGAAAAAACGGCTGCAGCAAATCACTGGAGCATGGAGGATAAATCCGCTGCACTGTTCGTTGCATTAAAAGGACCTGCAGCGGAAATCTTGCTGATTGTGAAAGGAACAGCTACGATGCGTTAATGGGTGCAGTGGAAAGACATTATTGTAGCGAGCACAGGAGACAGAGAATCGCTGCCAAAAAGCCAATGAGACCCTACAAGAATTCGCTTCAGGGTTCGAGAGGTTGGCTCACTTAGCTATTGGAGACGCATCTGGTGAACACCTTGAAAGGGTAAAGGTCCAGAGGTTCATCAACGGGATGCGAGACATGTATACCAAGCGCGAGACGTATGCGAATCCAAAGCCTACATTTGCTGAAACGCTCTCGTATGCTCAGACACGTGAAACGGCGGCGCTCCTAAGTAGTCCAGCCTACAAAGCCCATCGAGTAGAAGTGGAGACACCTGACGTGATGAACGAGATCCTGAAAACACTCAAGTCGATGGCAGGGAAGAATACTCCTGGTGCAACCGAGAGAAATGATGGTGCTAGGAAATGCTTTCGTTGCGAAAAACCAGGTCACTTCGCACGCGAATGTAAGACGGGTTCCAACAGGTCAAACAATTCAGCAGTACGTAAACGCAGGACTGAGGATGACGAGCCCAACTCCGATCAGTTGTTAAACTAAAACGAGCCAGCAGCAAGGGGCGCACGCGGGCTCCCGCAATTGAATGCCCCATAATCTCCGTCTCGCGAATTGGCAGAAAAGCGAGCAACGTTACTATTGGTGGATATGTGGACGGACATGAGCGAGTACTAACTGTGGATACGGGCGCATCACTTTCCATTATTCGATCTGATTTGGTCACTAAAGAGGTAAGGCCATTACCTGAAGCAAGGTTGAGGGCAGCAACTGGTGAGGACACCAAAGTTGTAGGAGAGGTAACATGCAAAGTCGCAATAGGGAATGTGACGGTGTTACACAAGTTCGCGGCGATTATGGATGAAGTCATCATTGGATTAGACTTTTTATTTGATCAAGGTATGAAGATCGACATGAAGAACAGGATCATGAAGTACGACAACATGGAAGTGCCCCTTAGAGTTGGGTATGATGGTCCGTACAGCAGCAAGCGAGTGATCCTAGAGGAAAGCGAGCAGATTCCACCGAAGTCAGAAGCAGTTGTGTGGGCGAAGATTGATGGAGATTGTGGGACAAACAAGTTGTGGGTTGTTGAAGCAACACAAAAATCTACACCGGACGTACTTATTGGTAAAACCCTGGCTAAGACGCAACAAGATGGACGCATCCCTGTTCGAGTGTTCAATGAGTTCAAATCACCAGTCAAACTCCGAAGAGGAACTGTACTGGGGCAATGTCGAGAGGTAGAGGCAATCTTCAACTGCGAAAAATTACCTGGAAGCGATTCCATTGGTGAGAATGACATTGCGGAAGACATTAATGCATGGACGGAAGGGTTGGAAGAAAAATAACAGTACAAGGCTAAGGAACTTCTCCGCAGACCCTCTAACATATTCGACAAGGATGGCGACAAACCAGGCAGGACTAACGTTGTGAAACATCGCATTGATACAGGCGATGCAAGGCCAATCCGCCAAGCTCCTCGGAGTGTTCCACTTGCCAAACGTGAAACTGTTAGTCAAATAATTAAAGAAATGAGCGAGGGTGATGTGATTGAACCATCAGCGATTCCATGGAGTTCGCCGGTAGTACTTGTGAAGAAGAAGGATGGTCAAATGCGGTTCTGCGTAGACTATCGGAAACTAAACGATGTGACGAAAAAGGACAGCTACCCTCTTCCCAGGATCGATGACACTCTGGACTCGTTGACTGGAACAAAGTGGTTCCCAACACTCGACCTTAAGAGCGGTTATTGGCAAGTGGAGGTAAGTGACAAGGACAAGGAGAATACAGCTT